AATTAAAGGAGAAAATCTCGAAGTTAGTTCAAGGAGAGCAAACTGTGACTCAATACTACACAGCTCTCACCACTAAGTGGCAGGAATACAAGATGTATCATCATGTATCATGTTGCCCTTGTCCCAACAACCCCTTTTTCACCATCTAGAGATATGAAGAACAAGATTTCATTATTAAGTTTATGCGAGGGCTTAATGATGTGTATTAAACTGCATGTACACAAGTGCTCATGAACACTCAGCGGCCTAGCATAGAGTCACATTTTAAGCAAATGCTTCAATTGGAAAGTCATATGAAAGGAGTTGGTACTGGTAAGGAACGTGTTGAGTCCTTAGCTTTGCTTGCAGCTGGGCAACATCCTATAACCCTGAAGCAAGGAGGGCCAGCAAGGGCAGTCTAGTAGGAACCCTAGAGATAACACTACTGATGGCAAGAAGTGGTGCAGGTTCTGCAAGAAGGAGTATCATACCATACAAGAGTGTTTTAAGTTAAAGAATAATCAAAACAATGAAGGAGGTGCCCCTTTTGCAGGCTCAATCGATACCAACTTGAGTGACAACAACAGGCAACATTCATCATGTCATGGTAGAACTGATTCAGACATGTCCCTGGCTGGACTTCTCACTGCAGACCAGTTTGAAAAACTGAAGCTCATATTGGGAAGGTAACCATCTTCTTCTCCTTCACCACCATCTTCACCTCATATGCAGCATACAACAGCTATTGCAGTAAGAAGTTCAATAGCACAACCACTTGCAAATGCTCTCCACAAGTCAAGTAGACCTTCTCACTTTTATGCTAACACTTCAGGTAAACCACCCTGTACCAGTATTCTCACTCCAACTGTCTAGATACTTGACACAGGAGCAACAGATCACATAATTTGTTATGTCAATTACTTCACTAAATGCAAACCTATTGCTCAAGTGTTTGTTAATCTTCCTAATGGACATCAAGTGGCAGTCACTCACTTTGGAATAGTCACTTTACCTTGTGGATTGTTCCTCACTCAAGTCCTTTTTGTTCCTTCTTTTACTTACAACTTGGTTTCTATAAGTAAGTTAACTAAAAACCTCCCAGTTTCTTTGGTTTTTAAATCAAACTTTTGTGTCATCCAGGACCTTATTACTTGGAGGAGGATTGGTTTAGCCCAAGTGGATAAAGGTCTTTACCTGTTTTCCAAGTTAAAGAGTTAAGAGTTTGGTGTTCCTAAGGATTCCCAGTGTCTAGCAGCAGGAGTCTAAGGATGGTTTCTCTTATGATGACTTTAGTAGAGCAGTTTGGGTCTTTCTTCTTAAATCCAACTCTGAAGCAAGGTCCACCTTGCAATCTTTTTGTCTAATGGTGCATACTCAGTTTAATGTTCATGTTAAGACTATAAGATCATACCAAGGAGCAGAATTCCATATGACAGAGTTCTTTTCTGCAAATGGAATTGTGCATGAGAGAGTTGTGCCTACACAACTCAACAGAATGTGAGAGTTGAGAGAAAACATCAGCATTTGCTCAATGTTGCTCGATCCCTTAAGTTTCAATATGCCTTACCTCTAAGCTATTGGAGTTTATTTGTTCTTCATGTTGCTTACCTTATTAACAGAACACCAAATCCACTTTTGAACCATAAAACTCCTTTTGAAATGTTACATCAAGTCCCCCCTGATTACATGAACCTTAAGGTGTTTGGCTGTTTGGCTTATGCCACAGTGGTTGAGGGTCATAAACACAAATTTGATCCTCGTGCTAGAAAGTGTGTTTTCATAGGTATACCAGTGGCTATAAAAAATTATAGGTTGCTAGATGTAGAAACCAAAAGAGTTTTTGTCAGTAGGCATGTGATCTTTCATGAACAATCCTGCCCTTTAATACTTCTAATTCTACAGATGGACATCAATTAGATTTTCTTTCTGCCCCTTTGTCTACTTCCAGTTCTGAGGAAGCTTCTAGTTTAGCTCTTCTTCTACCTGTTGAATCAGAAGCAGTAGGCTATTGTTCTCTTCCTACCGCAATTTCACCCTCACCTAGCCCTACCTCTTCCAACCATGTTTCACCTGTTTCCATTCCCACTTCTGAATGCAGTACCTCTGATGCATCTTCCTCATCTTCTCATGCCACCCTAGAGTCACCACCTATTGTTACACTTCATAAATCCACAAGGCAAAGTGTATTTCCATCCAAATATAATGACTTTTATGTTGGTTCTGTCCAAGTCAGCTGCTCTCCTAGTACCACTTATGCAGATCTTTCTCATCTCACTCCTGAGCAGCAGCACTTTGCTTTACTGCTTGAGAAGTAGGGGTGGTAACCGATTAGACGGTTAACTGTTTAACCGACAATCCCTCGGTACCGGTGGTCGGCAGTAGTTTTCCCAGCTTCGCTATACCGGTAATTGGCTTATCGGTATCCGGTTATACCGACACCGACCGATTACCACCCCTATTGAGAAGCTAGTAGAGCCAAGTTGCTATGCTGAAGCTGCTAAGGATCCTAGATGAAATACTGCCATGATGGAAGAGCTTGCAGCCCTTTATGCCAATAAAACTTGGGAGATCACTGACTTACCGGAGGGAGTGAAGCATGTTGGTAACAGATGGATTTACAAAGTGAAGTTCTTCGCAGATGGAACAATTGAAAGGTTTAAAGCTCGATTGGTGGCAAAATGTTATACACATATATATGGCATAGACTAATGTGATACTTTTTCACCCGTAGCTAAGTTAAAGTCATTTAAAATGCTACTTGCCATTTCCTCCATTCAAAACTGGCATTTACATCAGATGAATGTCAATAATGCATTTTTGCATGGAGATTTAGATGAAGTTGTGTATATGGAGTTACTAGAGGGTTTAAGGGGGAAGGATGAGTACAAAGGAAAGGTGTGCAGACTTTAGAAGTCTTTATATGGGCTCAAACAGGCTAGCAAGATGTGGTATGCCAATTTAACTGAGTCTTTGCTTGCTAATGGATTCACTCAATCCAAAGCGGATTATTCTATCTTTCTTACTAAGGTAAAAGGGAGTGCTTGCTCCTCGGGGAAAGAGATATAGAGAGTTTTAGTTTTAAAGAAGTTACATCCTCAAATGTACTATAATGTAATTAATCTAATATAAATGCAATTGACAAACATTTCTAGTTCAAAACAATTTAAATGGTCCACTTTATTCTTGGTTTTCACAATGATCACCGGACACCCTAATCTCTCTCTATGTTGGTAAAAAGTAAAAACACTAAAAGAAATTTTACTTTTAGAGGCTAAACATCTGGCACATAAAATATGTGTCTCCTAAAATATCTCATACATGACTAATATATTATGTGTCACTAAAACAATTACTATATGTCTCTAAAACAATCATTATTTTTAATACAATGTTAATTTAATCAAAATATTAATTTTAGCGGCAAATTTTGTATAACTGTCGTCTAGCTTTTATCTTCATATTTGTGTGAAAATAAAATTATTTTTTATTTCATAATATTATAAATTTTGGACACAACTAATTATTTGTTGCTAATAAAAGGATCGTTAAAGTCCAAAAGAAAAGCTACTTATTATTATATTTTTCGGTGATCCTTTATTATCTATAGTTACAAATTTCGAAATGTTGTTGTGACATATTATACAGTTTTGACAAATGATTTTGTTATAATAATTTGTCATAATTAATATGAGGTTGTTGTATCGAAATGGTTTTTGTCAAAATAAGGTAGTCATGATAGACCATTATTGTTTTTGTCATATTATAATTAGGAATAATATGTATGTTTGTGACGAAACCATTTTGTCATAATCTAACACGCTAATTTAGTCACCATATCCGAAAATTATGATAAATAACACAATTGTTCCGAATATTGAAGGCAACATAGAATATTCAATAATCTCAGTCATAATCCTTAAATAACAATCTTTCAAAGCAACATGACATTATACTCCTCATATTGCCTCCATTTGTTCCATTTTGAAGGACAACCCAACAACAAGTTCATCTAAAAAGAAATTTCTACAGACAACCAAAAGTTTTAACAGACCATGACGTATCTGCTCCCTGTTATTACTCATGCATCTAGCTTTCTCCAACGTCCTTACTTTGACGTGGACAAATTGGACTAGTTGTGTGGCACACTAGGAGCTGAACCAAAGAGATTTACGAGCATTCTTAGGACCCTTGAGAATCATTTGCACAAACAAATACAACTCTACCGAGAGCTTCGACAAAGAGTGTATTCATAACCCAATCAAAAAATATATTTATTGTACATAGTGAAGCGAGCTCACCTAAATGTTCATAGTGTTAGGAAATTCTATTTCTTATAATGATATGGGGCCACATATTTTACAATTATTATGAGTTATTTGGTTATGTGGGCTAATTGAAAGTGATCCAATTAAGAGCCCGAAGACATCTTGCATTGTTATGGGCCTAAATGGGTGGAAATCCAATACTTGTACACCTTGGGTTTTATGGGAGCCCATGGTGACTAGTATATAAGGAACCACTTAGAGGTTGTGGTCTCCAACACACCAAGACCAAAACACTCTCTTTTTCTCCCCATAAAGAAGATCAGAGAAAATCCAGTATAGGAACTAAGGTGGCTCGGTTGAGGAAGATCACAAAACCTCTCGGATCGTGCTTCAGAGGTATCATTCTGTTTATGATCGTCTTTCATATTCCGCATCAAGTTCTTGGTGATCACTCAACACAAGTCCAGGTATTTTCACAAACCTTTGATAATCTAGCAATATGATATCCATGGAATTGCTTGTGCAAATTCTATTATATTTAACCCATATATGGTAGCTCTAGAAGCAAGATGACTAACTAGTCAAGCATTCACCGTCGGCCTTCTTCATTCTAGCTTTGGCAGGTATATTTCCATGTAAACTAAACATACCAAAGATGTAAAAATAACAAAACAAAATAATCAATCCTTTAAGTGAAATGACATGTAAAGAGAAGCTTAACTGCTGGATTTGCAGTCTTATGGCCTAAGATCTGAAGAGGGAGAAAGTTTCTAGCAGACATTCCAGCAAAATAGGTTCCTAACCGACATATATATGTCTTAAAAAGGTCCATTACCTAGAACAACTCAGAAAAAGTTGCAGTAAAGCAGTCACAATTTCAGAGTATCCTACTCTGATATTATTAGCTTCAAGCATTTTGGAAATCTCCTTCCTAATTCAGATGACCTGAAGAAAAGATATTCAATTTACTTCATGCTCGAAATAAAATCCTTAGATATATGAAAATGCCCTGAAACCGACCACACCAATTATTTTGATTCATATAGAAGCATAGCATACATCGGAACCATTTGAGTGAACATCCAGAACAACATCCGATGAAGTTAATTAAACGTGTGTGCAAGCTTGAGCCAAGAAATTACTAGAGAAAGAAAATATAATACCCTATGAAGTTTCCTTTCAATACACGAGTGCCAGAGTACTGGATGCATATAACATCTCCATGATTAGCCCAATGTAAAACCAACAAAACAATAAGACAGTGAAAAGCCAAGTTAGGTGACAAAGAGTTAGTACTTGAATGAGGAGAAAAAAATGATGCATTGTAGTCTTGCCTTTCATCTATACTAGTCCCACTTAGTTAGCATATGAACTGGAGCCAACACCCTAAGGAAATATAATATGTGTTCAATGAGTTCCAGCCCCCTTAGAACCTCCATAGGTGCAACTAATCCTCCATTTGAAGGCGGAGAATCTTGTAATTGGCATTCCATTACACGAGGGACGAACAATTGAAAAAGTAAAATTCAGTGGAAGGGCTTGCAACTAACAGCTTAGCTTACGAACAAAAACCAAACTCTATTCAACAACAACTACTTTCCACAGTAGCAAAAAATTACATTGACCTTCCGTCATGCGCCCAATGGAGTACGGCTATCGAATTGTTGCTGATGTTGTGGCGATAGAGTCGGAGATTGGGATGTCGAAGCGGCAAGGATAGGACAGGGGAGTGAGAGGGGAGAGGGGAGAGAGTTATTGGACGGGTGATGGAGGAGGGACCGGAACAACAGCGACAATATAATTGTGGTCTCCCAGTCGGCGACGAAGACAAGGCAGGGAGAGAGGAGAGGGTAGTCTGGATCGGGTGAGGGAGGAGAGCGATGGCGCATGAGGAGGGAACTGGGACGAGGGCGACATTGGTAGTCTCCCAGTCGGCAGTGTAGAGAGTTGAGAGGTGCCGGCATTCTGTTCGAGTTGGAGAGAGTGGCAAAAATCGACTAGTCGACACAAGGGTTAGTTTAGGCCTTTAGGGAGATTTAGGATGGGAGGGTACGGGTGAGGAGAGGGTCGGGTATGTGGTAAACCCGAACCGAATCCAACCCGCTAAATAGTGAAACGGGTTTTACCCTGAACTCAACCCATAATTTGTTACCGTGGGTATCATTTCACTTTGATAAGATTGGGTCAGGCTAGCTACTCATAGGTTCATGTTATGTTGCAATACCTACTCTTAACTGAACGTCAAGGGTGGGCAATGGGCTAAACGACATAGTATAAAGGGGCGTTAATGGTTAGTTAACCACAACCCAAATAATCGGTTAGAGATTAACAAATAAGGAAAAGTCCTCAACCGTGACTCCCAGTCAACGATCGATAATCAGATTTTAAGTCATAGCAACGAAATTTGATAAGTTGTACTTATTTTTTATACCAGATGGTTGAATAAAAGTTGTGTTAAGAAGAGGAGCAAAGAGATGAACAATGGCAAAGTTTATGTTCTCTTTTCTGTGTGTATGGGGAGGGGGACTTGAATTCCTAAAAGAGACGAGAAAACAAATTTCTTTTATTACTTTCTAATGATGGCAAATAATCAGAGTTCAAATTAATATTTGTAAGGGTTTAGTGGATCATTGTTCAATTCGAATACAAGTTTCATGATTTAATATTTAGAGATTGCATTTATCCTCTTTTATCCTTTACAATTCCAAGGGTTAGAATTTATGAGTGAAGATTGTTTTAATGGTTCGCGATTTATGATTTATAATTTAGAATTTAGGTTTCTGTCATGGTTTAGGATTTTTGTCATATTAAATACGTACTTAACATTAATATGACGTTCTACGGAAAAGTACATTATTTATGAAAATTTTATTTGTCAGCATAAATATTAACTATCATATATTATTACAAACAAACTACTTTTGTACTATCTATATAATCTTTCAGTTCCCGTCAATTCATTTGCTAATTAAATGTGTGATATACATGGATGCTAAACAATTAGTATAAAAAATAGTTTGTCATCATAAATGCCCATGATTTTATATTGTGAGAAAATCACTATTTGTTACATATTACATTTTATGTTCCCCCGCAGGTTCTCGTCAAATTAACATCTCCACAAAATTTTGTAAGAAGTATAAATTTTCATATTACATAAATTATACGACCAAATATTTTATCATAATATAAATAAATATTTATATATTTTGACATATCCACAATTTGTCACATTATACATTTCATATTAGTGACTAAGTACACACATAGTCATATTATATGTAAATTTCTGATACTATGACAAAATTATTTATCAATATAAATGCGATATCGTAAATGATGTGACAAACGATATTATGAAAAATATTTTATCACTTTATTATCCAAGTTTGCCTTACTACTAACCATATTTGACAAAATACTATTGACACATTAGTTTTGTCATAATATATACTTAATATGACAAATGTTTACGACAAAGTCACTACTTGTCACAACTAATATGAAAATTATTACAAACTAGGATTTTGTCACATTAGATAGTTTATTGTGACAAAATAAAAATGACAACTTTTTTATTTGTCTTAATATACGAAAATTATTGTAGTAGAAGTGGATCTAAAGGAAGTATCTAAGAGCTGTGTAAATCTAAGAGCCAGGGCGGGTTGGGTATGAGAAGTCTACATGAATTCAATCTTGCCCTTCTGGGAAAGCAGCTGTGGAATATTATTCAGAAGCCAAAGTCTCTTGTTGCAAGGGTTTTTAAAGCTAAATACTTCCCCAATAGGGATGTTCTGGAAGCCGAAGAGGGATATAACCCCAGCTATGTCTGGAGAAGTGTCATATCAGCTAAGGAGATTCTCAAAGAAGGACTGAGGTGGAGGGTTGGTAATGGATATAAGATCGATATTTGGCAAGACAGGTGGATACCTTCAACATCCTCTCATAGGGTTGAATCCCCTGTTTCTCAGTTCTCACCTACCACATCTGTCTATGAGCTTTTGGATTTGGAAAACAGAACTTGGAACTATTCTCTCCTACAGACCTACTTCACTCCTACAGATCAGCAACATATCATGAAAATCCCGGCCCCTAGACAGCCAGCGGAAGATACAAGGATCTGGTGCTATGAGAAGTCGGGTGTATACTCAGTCAGGTAAGCTTATCATTTTTGGATGGAAAAGAAAGAAGCAGAAGAGGGTTTGGGGGAATTTTATGATCCAATAAACTGGAATCAGATGTGGAAGCTATCACTCCCGCCAAAGGTTAAAATCTTTGCTTGGCGTTGGATCAAGAACATTCTTCCCACGGGTGCAAACATTTGGAGTAGAATCCAGAAAGGCTGTGAGGACTGTCCATTTTGTGGCTTACGGGAGACCCAAACACACCTTTTCCAGGAGTGCGGATGGGTACGCAGGGTTTGGAAACCTAGTTTGCTACACTATCTATTCAAGAAAGGTCAAGATCTTACCTGTGAGCAGTGGATGGCGGAAGTGCAGGAATCGACGGAGGAAGAGCGAATCGGTCAATTTATTGCAGCCCTTTGGTTTATCTGGGGAGAGCGGAACAATCAGCTATGGAATAACAACAAATTGGAGGAGTACGAAATAATGGGTAAGGCAGAGCGTTGGCTAGAAGAATACCTTAATCATCAGCAAGTGGTGGCGGAGGAGAAAGGAAAGCGTGAGTACCATTGGGAGCCGCCTCAATCGATTGATTTTAAGGTCAATGTGGATGCTGCCTGTTTCGAAGGTCAGGGTTCGGGTTTTGGAATGGTGATTCGAGATAGGAACAAGAATTTCTGCCTCCCGGCAGTCAAGAGAAGCCGGATTCAGTGGTCGGTGGAGATGGCTGAGTGCATGGCGATTCGTTGGGGATTGGAGGTGGCGATGGAAAATGGGTTCGGAAGGTGTGAGATGGAAACAGATTGTCTGATGATAGTCCACTATCTGCGAAGGGAGGAAATGTCGATGACGGAGATGGGGGTGACGTGTGAAGAGTTGCGACAACGTCTTGCGGAACTGGGCTCCATTCGGGTGGGTTTCTCGGGCCGATTGAGTAACCAGGCCGCCCATCTCATGGCCCACACTCTGTGTGGGTGGGAAGATACTAATTTATGGTCTGATAGCCCACCAAGTTTCCTGGTTCCTCAATTGATAATTGATTCCTGTACTGTTTCAGACAATCTTTGAAATAATACAGGTCTTTTCCATAAAAAAACAAAAAAAAGGAAGTATCTAACTTAACAAACTATCCACAATATGTGGCTACGTGCCAGCAAGTTATATAATAATTAATACATTTATAAAGATTCTAAACAGTTCACACTCCTATTATTATAAGTTCTCCAATCTTCACCCTCTCTTTAAAACTAAGCGCCACAAAATTCTCATCTCCTTCTCCATTGTTCCAGAGCTCCCGTAGCCATAGGTGTATGGCGTAACCATAAATCGTTGCCGCTTCCTACCTGCAACAGTTCTTTAATTTTCATACAAAGCAGTTCTTTCAGTTTATCCAAAGTGCGTGAGCATTTAGTCATCAATTGCAGTGTACCAGAGCCAATTCTCTCCTTTGTTAATCTCGTTTCTGGCTCCGGATGCGGCCCCAATCGAGAGAGTGATCGAGAAGATTCCGATCAGTGAGGTTTTCCTTTTCAAATTTTCGTTCGATAAGTTTTGTTCTTCTTTTTTTTGTGGTGGAAATAGAACGCCGATCCGAACATTAATATAAAGTAGAGGTTCTCTGTAAAAACATGCTTAATTGTGATTTTTCAGCCTTCTTTTTTTTTTTTTGTCAAAAGATAAGATATATTGATCGAAACAAAGAGATAGTTACATCCTGGATAACAGCCAGGTCCTGAAATCAAAAGAACGATTTACAGACGGGTACAAAGAGAGGGCCTTTCTAGCTACCGAATGAGCTACCCTATTGTTCTCCCGACCTACAAACCGCACACTAAACCCAGGGTGGGCCCGAAAATACTGGCAAATCTCCTCTAGTATAGCCCCCAGATGATTATCGCGTGTATCAGTCTGATTAATTTTGTCAATAATGACCTTAGCATCCCCCTCAAACCTAACACCAGACAAGCCGTACTCCAGACACCAGAGGATAGCCTCACGTAACACAAGCAACTCCACTACCAGGGGTTCATCAATCCGCGCAAACTGCACACCCTTAGCCCGAAGGAGCGTCCACCCTTGATCAAAAAGGACCATCCCACCAGCCGAATGGGACCCCCGCCTAGTGGCCCCATCCCACATGCACACCAACCGAGAGTCCTCCACTTGAGTCTCTTGTTGAACGGCCGGGCAGGCCAACCTCGGCGGTCTGTCGACAGGCAACCCCACCCATTCCTCATACTGCTGGTGAAATTGGCGCATTAAAGCCGGAATCCCAAACTGCTTGCCTTCAAAGACAACCCAGTTTCGCGACCGCCAGATCCGCCAAAGGATGGCAACCACAGCCAGAAACATCGTCGGGTGCTGGACAAGGGCGAGCAGCCGCTTGAGAAACAACGGAAACGTGTGCCGAGGCAAACCTTCCCCCAAATAGTCCAACCCTGAGTAGTCCCAGAGAGCCCTCGCAACCGGACAGTACAGAAACATGTGCTCCATCGTTTCGGGCCCCTCCCAGCAAACCGGACACCGGGGCAACACAGGAACCTTCTTTTCGATAAGAGCCTCAGTGGTTGGCAAAGCCCGATGAAGAATTTGCCAGACAAAGACCTTCAGCTTAGGAGGAATCTTCGCTTCCCACAGCCGGATCCAG